TATCCCAATGTTCATAGCAGCAATGGCCACAGTTGCCCAACTGTGGAAAGAACCAAGAATCAGGGGTGGCTTTTTATGCCTGTACTTCAGTGGCAATGGGGCTGATGTTGCAGGGACTAGCTGCTCACAGCCACATGTGGGAAGCTGTGGGCAGCTGTGGCCTAGAAGGGGCTGAGGGTTTGCAGATCTCTCCCTGGACCCTGTTCTTTCTTTCTCTGGCAGCCTTCCATCAGAGGTGTTCCAGAGGTCAAGGCTTCCTCAGAGGTGGTCATGTGCTTGGGTGTCAAGGAGCTTCTCTAATTGCAAAGTCAATGGGAAGTGAATGAAATTAAAGGGCAGGTGTGGGCTAAGAAGAGGACATAGCAAATTGTGAGCCACCGAGTCACACAGTATCAGACAGAGATCGACAACCTGCCATTTTGCACATGAAGGAACTGATACCCAGAGAGGTGGTGTGACTTTTCTGGAGCCACACATCGAGCAAGCAAGACAGCTATAATAGGGACACAGGATTCTGGACTTGTGGTCCAGAGTACATCTGCTTTGCCCACAGAGGAGGCATTTATGGTCAGTGAACCTGAATGCAGGATCAGCTGGATTTCATGTACATCGTGGAGGACTAGAAACACAGTGTGGCTGCCATCAGCCTTGTCCCTTGTCAAGACCACCGCATACTTGGTGCAAGATGCTCCTCCTGCCGCCCCGCTCCCAAGTGGCCAAGAGAGAACTAGCCTTGAGGAACAACTCCATTCAAGTATATTTGTTCGTTCACTCATTCATTCATCCCCCAAACCCTGAAGAGCACCTGTATGTGCTATGGGTGCTGGATAATTTGTGCTCATCTGAACTCTCTTCCTGGGCAAGAAGGCGCTAGGATTTCTCCCAGGCTAGGCTTTAAGAGAAGCTGTGTGAAATGCAGCTGGCCCTTTGCTGAAGGAGCTGGTTTAGGAAATTTGGAATCGATAGTCCACTTGAGGGTGGCTAAGAAGCCAGAGGGCCAGACACACCCATGTCAAGGAAGCAGAGGGATGGAGCAGAGATGCTGTCAGAGGGGTCATACAGGGGAACAATGGATAGGAAGGAAAAGCTTAAGGACACCAAGTGGGCTTTAATAATATTTATAGCCCTAAGGAGTCTGCATGGTACTTCAGCATGGATTAGGATTATTGTGATGTTCTTTGCTATTCTCCTTAAAGAGAATGAGGGCAGAGAAGAACAAAATCGGGGGATATGATAGACCACCCCCCCCACTTTTCTATTTAGCTAAAAAACATATAATGTTAAATTTACCATCTTAACCATTTTTAAGTGTACTGTTCAGGACTGTTATGTATTTTCACATCGTTGTGCAACAGATCTCTAAAACTTTTCATCTTGCAACACAAAAACTCCATACTTGCTAAACATGAACTCCCCCTCCTTGCTTGCTCCCCCAGCCCATGGTAACCACCTTTCTACTTTCTGTTTCTATGACTTTTGACCACTTTAGATGTCCTTTGCCCAGCTCCCCTCCTTTTTTTTTTTTAAGATTTTATTTAAAAAATAAAATAAAAAAAAAAGATTTTATTTATTTGTTTGACAGAGAGAGATCACAAGTAGACAGAGAGGCAGGCAGAGAGAAAGGGGGAAACAGGCTCCCTGAGCAGGGAGTCCAATGCGGGGCTTGATCCCAGAACCCTGAGTTCATGACCTGAGCCGAAGGCAGAAGCTTAACCCACTGAGCCACCCAGGTGCCCCTGCCCAGCCCTTTTTAAAAAATCTGTGTCTAGCACAATTCACAGACACAACATCCTCCCATTAGTAACATCTCCAGTTGCACATGCATACACCCAGACACACGCACACGCACAGATGCTCCCAGGAGCACACACACACCCAGGAAGAGAGCACAGGGAAGGGGGAGACAGCAGCAGGTACTCACAAAGCCAGCTCTTGGGTATTGGGACAAGCCCTCTAGAAGTTCCAGATACTCCCCCAAGAACGTGCCCCCTTGTTGAGAATCACTGCTGTAGATGGAAACAGTGCCCCCAAAAGCATAAGAAGCAGAGCAGAAACCAGTCACAACATTTATTGAGCACTCTCAGTGTGCAGAGTGCTGGGCAAAACATTGGAAGGAATTACAGTGGAGGTGAGCAGTTCAACAGCTATTGTCACATGCCTCACGATTACATTTTAACTGAATGGAGGAGATACGTGTTAAGCATACGCAAACATGTGAGACCAACATATGTATACATGCATTGCTCATTCACCACTACAGTTTATCTTGAGAAATTACCACAGTAACCAGGGCACCAGAAGCCACGGGGACACATGGGTTAAGTAAACATCAAGGACACAATTTGTGATTGGCCGCACTGGTGATGTGTGGAAGCTACCTGAAAACACTAGAAAACATGAGGAACTTGGTGAATTAGTTTTCTTCACTGTAATAGGACCCTGTAGTTCAAAATCAAATTAGTAATCCATTGCAGCATGAAATAAAGGCAGTTGAGTCAACAAAGTACTAGAATAGCTTTATGTTAATAAAAATGTTTCTTGAGTAAAATCAGTCTGTTGATAGTACTGTTCCCAAAGGTCAGACCCAGATTCTGAAAGTTAATAGCATTTTTCTTCTTTCTAAAACGAGCTTCCATTATATGAAAGACCATGCAATGAATTTTAGTGAACAAAGGTATATTATTATCCTGTATCCAGGAAATCTTATTTCTATTTTTATGTACTTTTAAAATTATTTTAAAGTAGTGTTGCCAGATAAAATACAGGATGTATGTTAGTGCATGGGGCATACTCATGCTAAAAAAAATTATTTGTTGTTTATTTGAAATTAGAATTCAACTGGGCAACCCATTTTGTTATTTGCTAAATCTGGCGGTCCTATGTGAAGGTTAACACAACTTTGGAACTTCCAGAAGTCCGCAGTAATGGGGGGAGGGCCTAATTTATCTTTATGTATAAGTTAACACTGACAAAGGGGAAGACTTCTGCTTCTGGAAGGAAAATTGTAGATTTTGTAGAATTTACTTAAATAATGGAGACAATTTCATGTCTTACTCCTTTGATCATTTAGCAGTATGTGCTTTAATCAGTTGAATTTTTACCTTGAAATATTTGAGATGACTGGTTATAAATACTAACATTACACTGTAGCCTGAGAAATAGAAAAACTAACACCTGGCTTGAAAAGTCCCCTATAATTAATGGTCATGTCCTCAATTATCGTCTATTAGCACACAGCCATCCCACCCAAAAAATCAAAGGGTGATGCTGACATCTTATTAAGTTACACAACATCCCTTCCCCTATTCATGATCCCTTCTTGCCAATGTCTTCCCCTTTCTCCTTTCCACACCAGTTTTTTTTTTTTTTTTTTTTTCATGATTGAAATCGCCGACCTTTGTGCATCCTGAAGAACACCAGGCCTGGCACAATGGATAGTCATAGTTGCATGAAAGCCAGGAAAAGAAAAGCTCACTTGTCAGTTGCTTGGAGGTATGGACACTATGAACTTCCTCCCTTCCTCTGTTCCTCCCTTCTTCCAACCTCCCTCCCTCTCCTCCTTCCTTCCCTCTCTCCCTCTTTCCTTTTTTATTCCTACGCTAACATGCACACTTGTTTGTGTCAAAAATGCCTGTGTTAAAGTATTTAAGTGGTCAAGACAATGTTGTCCTGAAAGAAAGAAAGAAAGAATGAAAGAAAAAGACAGAGGTGCTGGCAGAGCACATTGATAAATCCTATTCTAGAAATGCACTTCCTACTATCTAAATTTATAGCTCATGTCTTATTTTAATTGAAATTTCTAAATTGGAGAAGAGATATTTCAACCTTAATTTTGTAAGGAAAATTTCACACGGAAATCTAGATGTTGTGAAGGAATGTAAAATAACAATTACTGAATTCCAACATCCATTCACTGTTTTTTCTTTTTTAAACACACCGAAGAATATATTTATATGTAAGGAACATACTTACATGTTTGGTTTATACATATACATAAAATTAATACAATTACTGACAAATACATAGATTGAATTTAATGGACAAACAACTTTGACCTTCAAAGCTATTTGCGAATGGAATACAAGTATGCCAGTTTTTCTTCTGGGACTGGCTTCACATGTTTCTGTTTCCACCCTTGGACAGGTACACAGAGGTTACAACTCTCTTTTGTACCTGGAGTCTTTCTTGGAAAGAGGCAGTGTCAGATGAGTATGAGAAATTGAGGCAAAGAGGCCATGGCGTTCCATATCACCATATAAAGGTGGAGTTAAGCGATATAGGTCATTAAAAGTAGAAAAAAAAAATTCTGTATGCCTACTGGCTCTTAATGTTCACTATGGGAAGACAGCATTCCACTCGGCTATTTGCCACACATCTGTTTTCTTTTTAGAAACATAAATTCCCAATTCGTCAAAACAACATTCCTTATGCTGTTTTGATGACACCATAATGGCCCTCACCAACCTCAAAAAGAAAAAGTAAGGCTGTTGTCTTGCTTCAGAAAAATGGCCAGAAGAGGTTTTGGTTCATGTTGCCCTTTTGTGGTCATGATGAGAGGGGTGGTTACAGTATATACATGATAGACTCACTCCAGGGGCAAAGCAAGGCTCCACACTTCTTCATCTGCAGATGAAGTAGAGCAAGAGCTGTGTCACTAGGGGGAGTGAGAGCCCACCTCGGATGTTCTAGAAACTTCTAAAGCTTAAGTAGGGTCCACATCTCCATCTGGACCATGTGTTTGGCATTGCCTTTGTAGTGTGGGCCCTGTTGGACTCCTGTGACTGGCCTGTTGAGGTGTTTCTGATGGTGGGTGTTACTAAGCATTTCCTGCCTTGAATTGTCCAGAAACGAAGTCACAGCCCTACTCTGTCTGAGTCCCCCTGGAACCAGGATGAAGGATGAAAAGCAGACCACGAACAGTTCCTACTGGTAATGGAATCTTCCTTCTTGTCTCCCCACCCCTGCCCACTCCTTCCTGCGGCGCGGGAGGCGGGTCCAGCTCAGGGGGGCGGCGCAGAGGCGCTCATGTGACTGTAGGAATACCGGGACAGAGAGGCCCCCATGGTTCTGCCTTCCTCCTCCTCTCCCACCTCTCCCCTCGCTCCTGGGGGACCGGGGTTGGGGCAGCAGGGGAAGGTGGCCATGAAGCCGAGGCGGAACCGTTTGTTCATGAAGCAGTAGATGATGGGGTTGACGCAGGAGGAGGTGTAGGACAGCAGGAGGATGAAGGAAATGGGGGTCCCCGAGAGGCGGCGCTCGGCCGAAGCCGTGTCATAGGCCCGCCAGGCGTTGGCGCTGAAGATGGGCATCCAGCACAGGAAGAAGAGGACCACGATGACCATGAGCATGCGGATCACCCGCTTCTTGGCCATGAGGTTGGCCGTGGAGCTGCTGCTCCTGATGCGGTTGACCCTGCCGCTGCTGGGTGTGGACAGCTGCTGGAGCTCCAGCTTCCTGCGGGGCTTGGCCTTCTGCAGGTAACACCCATCGCTGTCCTCATACTTGCCGCTGCTGCCGGTGCTCGGCTTCCTGTCTAGAGCGGCAAGTGACATCACTTATTGTCAGGGACGGATCATGAGGGACAGACTCCCCCTCTATCAAGGGGATCAAACCAAACTGGAACTGAAGCAGGGAGAAGGCATCCTTGGGCCTGTTCTGCTATGGTTAGGTACTGATCTACAGTACTCCTCTCCTTCAAATGGAAAGATGCTTAAAACTAATAAAGTAATGTGAGGCGCCTGGGTGGCTCAGTTGCTTGAGCCTCCAGCTCTTGGTTTCTGCTCAGGTCTTTTTTTTTTTTTTTAAAGATTTTATTTATTTATTTGACAGACAGAGATCACAAGTAGGCAGAGACGCAGGCAGAGAGAGAGAGGGGGAAGCATGCTCCCTGCTGAGCAGAGAGCCTGATGCAGAGCTTGATCCCAGGACCCTGAGATCATGACCTGAGCTGAAGGCAGAGGCTTTAACCCACTGAGCCACCCAGGCACCCTCTGCTCAGGTCTTGATCTCTGGATCTTGAGATCAGCCCCCCCGCATTTGGCCCTGCACTGAGACCAGAGTCTGCTTGAGTCTCTCCCTCTCCCCCTGCCCCTCCCCTTGCTTTCTCTTTCTCAAATAAATAAGTAAAATATTTTTAAAAAACCCCAATAATATATAATCTATCATATACATAGTATATAATAAAAGCATATTTTATGCACATCAATTGTAAGGATTAAAATTACTAAAGAATGAATATTCACACTCTTTCTTTCCCCCACATTCTCAGGGGAAAGGTTCCTGCTTGATTGGTAAGCTTCCAGAATGCTTTTACTGGGAAACCTGGATAATGATCAAAAATCAACCAAAACCAAAGAAGCTCGCGAGACACGTAAATTCTGGTAGAAGAGCTGAGTGAAAGCGTGGAGTGAGAAAGGCAAAAAGTTATATCAACAAAGGTGTAGGGCTAAATTTTAGTGGTTTGTGGATTATAATGAGTGGGAAGAAGCTGGGCTTGGAGTAACTGCACTGTGACAAAGAAAGGGAGGAGAGAGTTTGGGGGATTAAGGTTACAATTCTTTCTGGTTGTGGAAACAGGAGTCCATTAGAATGCAACACAGCAGACAGCGAGGGACACAAGGGCCCTCAGCTAATAATTGGGTATATGTCTGTTATGTCATTTTGTCCTACTCAGCACTGTTTTGAGAGGAAAAATTTCTCTATTTTACAGATGAGGGAATAGGGATACTATGTCTCGCGACTGTGCCTTATGACACAGAGTCTCCTGAGGATACTTTAAAATATCCTCAACATACACTCTGAGCGTATCTATTTAAGTTATAGGAAACAAGCTTTTGTGGTATTTTGGCATAAACATACAGCAAAGAGATAGTTACCCCTAGCAGACTTCTTCTGGATAGCATCAAATTTTATTCCTTGGTAAAGTTCCAAAGAGATCAATCCATATGCCACCATCATCACAATTCCAGGAATAAGAAAGAGGATGAGTAACAGGAACGTGTGCCTAATAAAATAAAAAGAAATTCAATAATCATCATCTCTAGTACTTCAAACTCAGATGGGGTGGAATAAATAGGGTTCATCTTCATTTTAAATGGTCTGAGCAAACACATTAATTACTAATATTTCATAACCTTGGAAATTCTATGTCTGGAGGTTCAGTCTTTTGAAGTTGTTTACTTCTCTCTCTCTCTCTCTCTTTTCAGATAAAGTCTCTTACGAAGGACTAGTTAAGTTGGAAAAGGCTGGTGTGATTCTGTGCTTGAAACAAACCTTCATGTAAAACCAATGAGAAATTAACAACAAAATGTATGTGAATAATCTCAGTAAGGCTTACCAAAAACATAAATACTTATAAGAGCTTATATTCATCGAGGACTTGCTGTGCTACCCACTAGGCTAAGCATTATATATATAATAATAATTCATATATATGTATGTAATATTAGATTTAACTCCCATAGTGACCCTTGAGATAGGTACTGTTATCATAATACCTATTTTATATGTGAGGAAACTAAGATTTACAGAGATTAAATCATTTGTCCAGAGACACATCTAGTGGCAAAGATGGGATTTGAACCCAGGGAATACGATTCTAGCTCTAAAGTATCACAATATACTATTTGTTGACTTTACAACAACAGAACCATCCAAAGCAGAGGTAGGAATGATGGATGACCTCTGAGGTTTTGCAAAGAGGGTTTTCTGGCTGTTTCTCCCCCATGGGCACAGTGGCGGGCTCCTTCTAGGGCATGGTGGGGCAGAGCTGTGCTTTCTCTAAACATGTTTGATTCCTGAAGCCCCACAGACTCCTTTATGAGTTGGCCCCTAAATCATTTTTGCAGTCTGGCATGTGTAAGGTTACAGGATTAGGCCATAAAATAGTTAGAGGCTCACAGTGGCTGGGCCATTTCTCATTTCAATTGGACATGTTTTGATAAGATTCCTTTTCAAGTCTTGGAAATGTTTCTCTCATTTACAACATAACTCTGTGTGTGTGTTACTTGGTTGAAATGAAAAAAAAAAAAAGGAAGGCAAAGAAAGAAATTTTCTCTGTTTTGAGCCATTTTTGAACGTCGAGTTCCCGGATTCTAAAATATGCTTGGAATTAGTAAACATAATACCCTGCGTTTGTATTTTTTAAAGATATTTAATGACATTTTCATACACATGCTTTCCTTTGAATCACCCAATGAGGTAGATTAAAAAAAAAAAACTATATTATTAAATCCTTGCATAGATAAAGAACCTGAACCTCAGTAAGGTCACTTGAACTTGTCTATCGTCAGTCGGCTAGTAAGCAAAGAAAGTCTTAGAATCTCGCCTGTTTATTTCTAGTGAAGTGTTCTATGCCAGCACCGTAGCTGTAGCTCTTAAGAAAAAAAAAATACACACACATGCACAGAACTTGGGACTCATTCTCTGCTTTATCTTCAGTTCTTAGAAAAATCATAGCCCTTCAGATCCTAGCCCTTCAGTCCCTCCTCCCCGCTAAATCATCCAGAGGGATTCTGCATAGCGAGTCAGCAGAGAGGCTCTGTATCTTCTAGTTTTGTGACTTTGAGCAACTCATCTTACCTCTCCATGTCTCCATGTTTCATCTCCATGTTTCATCATCTGCAAAATGGGGACAATAACAGTACCTACCCTATCAGGTTTTGAGGGAATTAATTGGATTCATATGTACATGGCGTTTGAAACAGCGCACTTAAGTGTTTGCTATCACTGTTATCCTAAAAAGAAATTAGCATAATCCTTCTCATAATCCGTGTCTCCTGGACACAGACCTCCTCCAGTCACTCTGGACAATATATTCCCGTTTTTACAAAAACTGCAAATGATAACAAATTGCATTACACAAATAAACATCACACCGCCTTACCAGGACTGCTGCATGACATCATTTGGCAGTAGAAAGCGGCACATATTCGCCGTCTGGTTGTTATTTTTGGTAAAAGGCACCAGGTTGCTATAAATTGGGTATGGAGTCATAATGGTAAAGGAGAGGCACCAGGTCGTGGCGATCACCTTCAAAGCATGGGATTTGGTCTGCCAGACCCGGGACTGTAAGGGTTTGCAAATCGCACCGTATCTTTCCAGAGATATGGCAACCAGATTAAAGGTGGATACACTCACAGAGGTGCCTGGGAAAGGAACAGAGAAGTCGGTTATGACGGCTCTGAAATCCCAAGTTTATTCGCATGTTAGCTTAAGCATGTCTGCTCGGCACAGGCTCGCTATCAAGGGACAACACTCAGAGGGTAAAGAAATATCATGTACCTGTATTTATTTTTTTTAAGTGATTTATTCCCAGCTTCATTTCAAAAAGGATTTAAGGCAGCTGAAGAAATGTACTTATGAATATATCTGATTGCCAGTTTTTAGATAAGTTTATTGAACGTTGATTACAACCAAACTGCTTCCCAGGTTGAAGTTGCTCATTAATTAATAACCAACGGGAGGAGATACGTTCCTCTCCTACACAAGAGATTTCTGAGTCGCCTGGAAAGAAGCTCTTATTTTGAGCATAACCTGAAGTTAAATTGACCTAGTAGCCCAGATTCTTAAGGACTGTGACCCTGAAAGGTCACAGGGGTCTGAGCTGGAGGCATTAAAACTCTGAGAGTTCCTAGTACAGACGGTTTTGAGAATGAACCATTATAAATTTGAAAAAGCAGTCTACTGAAGAAAACACACAGTAAAGGAAGGATAAAGGGAGAGGGCTCCACGCCGTAACTAAGAAGAACTGAGAAGAGCAGCCTTTGTTGCTCTTGGGGGCAGGGGCGGGGACTAGAGCTTTCCTTCTTCTGTTTGTTTTTCTATATTTCTATAAGGAGCATGCATCATCAGTAAGAAAGACATCACAACACCTCATTTATAGTGATGTGCTTAGGCATAGTCAAAAAGCTTAATTTTCTTTCATTTCTGTATATTGTTTGTGTATACTTATTATCATGTCTTACCGCCTTAGAATTCCCTCTAACTATTCATCCATGGATTCTGTCGGTTAATCTGATTATCTTTAGCATGATTTCTTAGACCTTAGGATTAATCTAAGTTGGGGAGAAGAAGCTCTTAGTCTGGGGCCTTTAATGGATATAAATAAATTCTCTGAAACTGTGCATAAAAATGTTCTTCTTGGCGGGGGAGATACCTACAGTATTCCTTAGAGACTTGAAGGAATCTACAACCCAAAAAACATTAAATGAAAACTCATGTTCTGAGACGGATGGCTGTGTTTTCCTGGACTCTACCCCCAAGGAACTGATGACACTGAGATTACAGAGTGTACCCCCAGCATCTCCGGAGTCAAATCTGTATAATGGGCTCACTGTTATTATAAACCCCCATCAGGCAAGCACTCTTCCATTTTTTCCTCTTTCCCTTCTTCCCTTCTACCCTTCTCCCTCCCTCCCTCCCTCCCTCACTTAACTCCCTTCCTTCTTTCTTTTCTTTTTCTTTTTTTGCCTGCTATAAGGAGTTTAATGAATGTTAACTGTTAGGAGTAGTATTGAAAAGAACACAAAATCAAGGGAAGAATCAAAATCCCTGGATTTAGAAATCCAACAAAACCATTACGGCATTGGACACAGCTTCAGAATTTTCTTGCTTTTATTATTCTTTTTCTTGAGGTGAAATATCACCAAAAATTAACCACTTTCAAGCAGGCAATTCTGTGGCCTTTGGCACACTTAGGGTGTTGTGCAATCACACCAGCCCTCATTTTAAGACTCCTTTCACAGACCCTAGTTAAGATTCTTAAATAATATTATCATACTATGGGTGGGCAATGACAGCCAAAAGTGCGAGGAGATGCTGGTAACTGTTACCGCTTCATTGTTTAATCATGATCCCTTTCATTCGTGGACGAGGACGGACATTCTCTTGGTTGTTTGTCTGTGGCACACGGATCAGTAATCTATCATCGTTTTGTCAGGGCTGGATCCCGCTGCCTCGATCGGGAGAAATCAAGGCTTTGAAAGCTTTCCGGTCATTGAGGATGGCCCCAGCCCAACTCAGCTCTGCCTGTTGCAAGGCTGAGGTCAGAACAAAAAACCACCCTCCTCCTTGCAGCTCGTATTCAGAAGGGAGAAGGCACAGGGCAATCTGGCAGCCAAAGAGGGCAGAGAGACATCTTAGCTTGGCTTCAGGAAAGCACCAGCTGCTGGCAAACTGGGGCAGCATCTGTCCTCATCCACCACTGTGGTGGCTCCTGATCTAGGTTCAAATTTCAGCTCTGTGGCTTAGTACCTGTGTGTCCCCGGGCACCTGGTTAACCTCTCTGTGCCTCTCTCCGCTCCTTGGTGAGACGGGAAAGAATAACTGTGTTTTATATATATATATTTTTTTGCAGGGTGGGTTGGGGGATGGGATCGTGAGAGTAAAAGCACTTCGTACAACATCTGCTGCATCACAAATATCAGCTCTTGTGATTTTTATTTATCATCATCATCATTTTGATTGGCAGAAGCAAAGAGCTGCATGTCTTAGCCAGTCAGGGTGAGCTTAATGACCCACAGGCTCTGGGAGCAAAATCAGTTCCTCATTTAGTGCCAGAGGGCATGTTCTCTCTCTGTCTCTCTCTCTCTGCCCAAGAGGGTCCCAGCCCCTGGGGATCAGGCTGGGAAGTGAATCCTGAGACAGGACTCTAGAGCTGGGACAAAACTGGTTTTCACATAGCCCCTGAGCCCTAGGAGAGCAAGAGCAAGAACAGAAAACCTTCCTCCACCATCCCATCACCCCCAAAAGCCATGGCTTGGCTCGGGCAGAACTCAAACTATGACCAATGGCTTCCAGGAAGGAGAGGATCGCTTGAATCCTTCTTGCTTTCTAGCAGAAGCCAGCAAAACCAACCTCTCCTATGGCTGGTTAATAACTTATTCCACTCTGAGAAACTGACCTCTGAAATGGACGACGGGGGACTGACTTCTGGGGACGCATGAGGACCGACCCACCTTGAAGCCAGCACCTGCATCCTTGCGCACAGCCCCACACAGCCAGATGTTTGTTTTGTTTTGCTTTGCGCTCAGCAGGACGCCTCTGCTGAGGCTGTCAGACGGTTGGGAAGGTCTGGGGCCGAGTAGGGTCCGGGGCGAGCTCCAAACAGCCCCCAGGAGCAACTCACCCATGAAGTAGGTAGTGGTCTTGCAGACGGCACTCCCAAAGATGAAATCCTTGAGCAGGTTGGGGATGAGGTTGAACGGCATGCAGAAGAGGCAGAGCATGAGGTCGCTGACCGCCAGTGAGAGCAGAAAGATGTTGGTGACCGTTCTCATCCTCTTGTTCCGAATCAGCACCGTAATGACCAGCGTATTTCCCAGGACACTGAGCAGGAATATCAAGGAGTACAGAAGAATCTGCACGGCTGGCTGCCACTCTGCAAAGAGTAACGGGAATGAGACAGAGGGACGGAGGTTATGGGAGCAGAATGTGAAAACCTCAGCGCACAAAACGAACGGTGATTTCCTGCAGGTTATTTTCGTTGGTGGTGGTTTTTTGTTTTTTTTTTTTTTTTTTTTGCAAGGGTCTACATCACTGAACCTGACTATTCCTCTATCACCAATATTCTGCAGAAACAAACTGAGGAGCGTACGGAGTGATCCCGTTGCTTCGGAGAGGTTGGTTTGTTAAAGAATCGCTCAGGGAACCACTTTTTCTTAAGAACAAAGCTTCTCCAGTGACTACCGGTTGCTTTCTTTTCCCAGCTGCTTAGCTTGATTTCACTTTAATCACTTTTTCACGCTGGATATCCCCCAAGAAAAGGTGACAGCTAGATTGTGACAGCACCTTTTCTGTGATGCTGGTAAGTTCCAGCTTTGACACTTGGACCCCCTTCTTATGACACTTCAGCTCCTCCTCCCTTGGCTTTTGCACCCCCCACCCCTTCCCCATGCCCTCTACTTCCATCTCAACTCTCCTGTGGGGAACAATCAGGATATTTGACTCAGTTCTGCTTTTTGATCTGTTATCCAAACTTGTGAACGCATGACTTTATCCAGCCTGGTCTCAAGAGGACTTTGTTATAATTTTCTCTATCAGCCCCATCTTTGTGGATTTCTCCCACACCTTAATCATTTCCTGAATTAAAATAACAGTGTCTGGCACCTACCTTTAGAAGGATTGGGCTGATCCAAGCAGAAAAGCGTCTCATTTTCGATTCCCAGCTCACAGGGAGGAGTGATGTTGCTTCCATTCACAAGAAGGCTGTCGACCACATCCATCCTTGCCGGCTGTTCTCGAAGTGCTGGCGAGCTGGTGAATTGCTCACCCTCGGCTCATTCCTCTAATGACTGGAGAGCCTCCCGAAAGCAACCTGCCGTAGGGGGGCAGGGAGGGAGGGAGTTCCAGGTGTGGGCTTTTGCAGCCATTCCTAAAGGCGACGTGAGTTCACCACGCTCAGTCCAGTCAGGCAAGCGCTTGCTCTCCTGTCTTGGAAAAGAGAGCTCAGGCAAGCCAGCCTGCTCCACCTTCTGAGCCCACCCCTCCCATTCCTGGGCCAGTCTTAGGGCCCTGAGCACAGAGAGCTTGACTGCGAGTTAACCCTTCCCAGAGTGTCACTGCTCTTATACACACTTGAGCACACACGGATACATACGCACAGACACAAACACACACACGTCCCCGGTACCTCTCTCCTCTGTATAGGAACCTGTCACCAACCCAGACATGTGCAGAATAAAGCCCAAACTGGCTGTGTGACACAGGAACAATCAACACGGTAACAGATACGATAATGCACACCATCAGGACTGAAGGGCATGGAGGGACTGCGTTTCTACCTCCTTATATAAAAGCAATTAGTGCCTTTTTAGCTTTGGAACCGTGCCCAGCAATGTGTGTAGATATAACTGCCCGCTGGTTGTTAAGTTGTTACCAACCACAGTGTTATTTCTCGTGGTCTCTGCCCTTGTTAACTGAAAGGAGAGGGGGTGCTTTCGGATATAGGGTTCCAGATGCTTATTATAAGAAAAGTTGTTCAGATCTTCCATTCATTCATTTATTCATTTGTCCATTCATTCAGCACATGTTCATTGAGAGTCAACCATTTGCCAGGCGTTCTCTAAACAGAAGCGAATAATAAGCAAGATCCTTTCAGTTAGTGTTGAGCACCATGAAGAAAAGCAAGCCAGATGATGCAATGGAGAGGAATGGATTGGGGGCACTAATTTAGGTGAGATGGTCAAGAAAGGTCTTCTGAGGGAGAGGACCATGATCTGAGACTTGGAATACAAGGAGGAGGAAACCTAGGGAAAATCTTGGGAAAGCTTCTTTCAGGCAGGAAGAATGGTGTTTTTGGCAGCAGACATAGCAAGTGCAAAGGCCCTGAGGTGAGAATGAGCTTGACCTCTTTGGGGAACAGGTAACAGTAGGAGTGAGTGAGGGGCAAACAGTGAGAGGTAAGATGAGAGAAAAAGACTGGCCTGGGGGTCTGGGTTTCCTGCATAGCTCTGTTGCCCTCCAAAGTCCCTCAGTGTCACCACATGACAGGGCTAACATTGGGTCCATTTGCTAGATATCTCTGGGAATCTTGTGTACTGACAGCTCTCTCAGTTGACAGAGCTACGCACTGCATCTTTGCTGAATGCAGATGAACTAATTGGCATTTTTGCAGTGGAGGCTGAGGATGTGGGCTGGGAAGATAGAGTAGCACCTAGAGTGACAAATAACTCTCCTTCTCCCTCTGTATGCTCTCTCTCTCTCTCTGACAAATTTTTTACTTATTTAATTATTTATCTGTCAGAGAGAGAGAGAGAGAGAGAGAGCGCGCATCCATAAGCAGGGGGAGCAGTGGGCAGAGAGAGAAGCAGGCTTCTCACCGGCAAGGCGTCCAAGGCAGGACTTGATCCCAGGACCCTGGGATCACGACCTGAGCTGAAGGCAGATACCCAACTGATTGAGCCACCTAGGAGTCCTAATAAATAAAATCTTAAAATCTTAAAAAACAACAACAACAAATTATACTTGTTATTTTCCTCCTATGCAGGAGGAAACTGAGACTCAGAGTGGCTTGGTGATTTGCTGGTGAGAACCAGTGCTGGATACCCCCTGGGGGACCTGGCATACGCATCCTTCCTCCACTTCCTGCAGCTTGGAACCTTCCTTGTTATCCTAGGAGCATGTAGCCCATTTGTTGCCAGGACCCTCCTCTCTGCTCCTCCTTCCTGCCATGTGTCCTGTCAGCTGAATCTTTCCAGCCTGCAGACCGATGTGGACCCTGCCCACTAGGAGGGGACCCAGTGCTGCCTAGTCCTCGTCCTGGAAGGGATGAAGGTTCAGGTTTTGAGCCCTGGGAACAGCTAAATGTCACCCTCCTGCTCTTCCCAGCTGCTCAGCGGCTCTAACTGGGCAGACATCCCTAGTGGTAGAGGGAGCCTCCTGCTGAGTCTCGTCAACCCCAGAGCTGCCCTGAAGTTCTCTCCCTCCATCCCTCCTTTCCTCTCTATTCCATTTCTGTCCCAGGGTTGTCAGGAAGTGACAGGGAGGGATGGGAAGGGTAAACGAGGGTGGGTGCTAGCGATACCCTGAGCTCCCCAGGAGTGAGTGTGGCACATTTGGGTGCTGTGCTTTATGAATTTCAGTGCACATCTGAAACACCTGGGTTCGTGCTTTAAAAAAAAAAAAAAAATCTGAGTTTTCCAGGCTCCTCTCCCAGGGATTCTGACCCCTTCAGCCCCAGACCTGGGAATCTGCTTTTTTTTTTTTTAATCCTGCGTCCCTGGTGATTCCAAGGCCAGTGATCTCAGGGTCACCTCTCTCGGGAAGCTCCCTGGACCCCATTAAGAGCATGAATGCAAGCATCAAGCTGCAAGAACCCAAGCCTGGCCCTCACCTTTGGCCAACTGTGGAACACGGACAAACTACTTACCCTTTCTGAGCCTCAGCTCACTCATCTCTAAAATGGGGATAACACAGTGCTACCCATAAACAAAGCAGTACATGGAAAGCACTTAGAACAATGCCTAGAACATAGTGCCGGACACTTATTATTAGTGGATAAGTAAATGCTAAGGGATACTCTATTTATCCCTGTTATCACAGCCAGGCGAAAAGGTCTGTGTCTCTAGTACTTGAGCACAGTGATTGGTGTAAAGGACGTGTTCAGGAGATGTGAATGAATCAAGAGTGAAAAATTGACAGAACCAATCTTTCATTGCTTATTCTGCCTTTTTATAACCCTATTATATAGGTTCTTTTCCTGGCCAGCTCTGGATTTTTCACTCATGAGTTTCTGAGTCCGTGTTACATAAGAATTAAACCGGAAAAGGGAATTCCACAAGAGCTGTTAGAGCTTTCGAGGGAGGAAAGGATGCATTTTTCAGAGTATTAGTCCTTATTTCTTTCCTCAGCACACATTTATCATGAGTTTTTAGGTGCCTGGCAGTGTGCTAGGTCCAGGAAGAGATAAGCTATGAGCAAAGCTGGTGGAAATCCTGCCCTCATGAAATCCTTAGTCCACCGTGGGCGACAGGTGATTATTAATAAACTGGGCAAAATAGAAGTGCCCCTCTCCCCTCAGAGCCTATCCTGGGATCAAGGAGAGTTCCAGGCAAATTGATAATAATTTACTAAATGGAGTTGAAATGGTTTAAGTGCCCCCCTCTTCAAGGCATGCTGTCCTGGGCAGCATAAGCCCAGTGTCTCCCGCGCTCCCCAAAGACTCAGAGTGGCTCGGTGATTTGCTGGTGAGGACCAGTGCTGGGGACTCTCTTCTCCACCAAAAACTAGAAAGACAGACCATGAGCAACCTCCCCTGGTTCTTAAGAAAGGAAATCGGTAGCTGCTCCCTAAACCGTTCTCCATCTTAAGGAAGAATTGTTCTAAAACACCAAAAAAGATTTCTATGTATTTTTTCCTCATCATCACATCACTCACAAGGTTATGGCAAATTTTGTAAATAAAGAAAAAAAGACAAGTGCAATTATAAGAGTCATGAAATTTCGGGTCCTCGCATGATTTATTCTCAATTGTGCCACTTTCAGAGACACAGTCCAGAGCCTGAGGTAGCTGACAGGAAATTGTACGTCGTGAGGTACCTGATTCACAGGGCACCTTGACATTTCTAAGAATTATCTTGCTTTTCCTCTGCAATTTCCCACCTCACTCTGCTGCTTGGAATGTGGCTCTCTAAATTCCTAATTCCTCACTCTCCTTCCGAACACAGCCAGACTACCGCCTTGGAGGGCTCTCCTCTTTTCCTTCCTCTGGCCATCCCCAGGCTCCTGGAACTGACTGACTGGGCTGGGTCTAGGTGTGGACCCCTGCTCCCTGCAGAGAATGCAGACACCCCTCCCCCCACCGCCCCCCGCCGAAGTTCTTCTCCCACTGCCTGGGTTTGGGCAAGCTGCTTTGTCTCTCTCAAACTTGATTTCTCACAGTGGTAAACCCTGCCACCCCCCTCCCCAACAGAGGATGGCTGGGACATCACAGGTCACCCTGTGTGTAAAGCGCCCAGGGGAGTGGTTGGTGTGTCACAAAGGTTCGCCAAAGGATAATAGCCTTCATTTACCCTATTTCATGTAGTTAGGAGTATTAAAATCATCTTTAATGCCACTGCCTCAAGATAATGTCTGTTCACGGCTAGGTAGATATTCTCCCAACCTTTCCCTCCTAATACATCTTCTTAAAAGCAAATTTGGAATCATACTCTATGTATGGTTTTCATCCTACTTACTGCTTTTTGAAAATGGAGTTTCAGTGAAAAATTTGAAAACGGGAAATAGAAATTTTGTGAGGTTTGGAAGAAATGTGTTTACTTTTTAAAACGTTAGGTAAGAAGAAAGTGGGAAAAAATCGATAACGTATTACTCAGAGGATTTACAAAGTGTTTTGCACACATACTATTTCGTATGTTCATTTTTTTTTAACTATAGCATTATTTCAGTGTCATGTTTTATTTCTTCTCCGTAGCGTTATGTTACACTGATGTCTAGTCTTTCTTGAGAAATATGTACTGCAGGGTCGCCTGGGTGGCTCAGTTGTTTAAGTGTCTGCCTTCGGCTCAGGTCATGATCTAGGGGTCCTTGCATTGAACCCCATGAGGGGCTCCCTGCTCAGAGGGGAGTCTGCTTCTCCCTCCCCCTCTGCACCTCACCCAGCACCACTTGTTCTCTCTTTCTCTCTCAAATAAATAAATTCTTAAAAAAAAAAGAATATGTACTCCAATTTACTGACGTATTTCCATACAGTTAGGTATTTTGTTATTATTCTTAGCCCCCTGTTTCTGTCAGTGACACTGTAGTGAACACATATGCACACATTTGTGTGGCATTTGACATACCTTGCCAATGTCAGAGCTGCCATTAACCTGCTTTGGGGGCAGCATTCACGCTGGATGCACTGGCTGAGCCACGTCTTGGCGCTGCCAATGCAGTGTGCAACCCCTCCTGCACGGGTAGCCCGTGGCCTGGGTGAATTGCTTTCCAAAAGATTGTACTCATTGGCAAAGCTGCTATTTATAAGTATTCCTTATACTTCTATCAGCATCTGAGAGTATCAGCACTTGCCTTTTGCTATTTAATAATTGAAAAAGGGCACCTCATCGTTTCTATTTGCATGTCTTTCACGACCAAAGACGCTTCTTGTTTTCCATGGGTTTTGTGACCAGTTGTGTTTCTTTCTTTCTTTTTTTTTTTTTTTTGCTATTTATATAAACCTAAGATAAACCAGAGCGTCCTTTATGAATTGTTTAAGTACTTTGCCCATTTCTTTATTT